GACTTATCCCAGGTACATGAACTGGCTTTTTAGAGCCCATTCCCCATGGTTGCAGGGGGGAGATGCTTAGTCCTGCCCCAACTTGGTATGTCAGCCTATGTTGACTCCCCAAAGGGAGGACTTACTCTCTGTGAGGAGTGGATGGGGAGGTGGGATGGGAAAGGTTGGGGTAAATGGATGAAGGGGAGGGAGGGGAAACAGTAGTTAGCATGTAAAATGAAAAAAAAATTAAATTAAAAAAATAAAAATCTATCTTGGAGAAGAATATGTTCATGCTATAAAAAAATGTCTATAATACGTGTAAGTCAGTGTATACATACATTCTCTTCCACAGGGCTGTGGTGGCGCACGCCTTTAATCCCAGCACTCGGGAGGCAGAGCCAGGCGGATCTCTGTGAGTTCGAGGCCAGCCTGGACTACCAAGTGAGTTCCAGGAAAGGTGCAAAGCTACACAGAGAAACCCTGTCTCGAAAAACCAAAAAAAAAAAAAAAAAAACTAACATTAGGCATAAGAAACCCTCTCTTGAGTTTTTAGTCATGGTTGTCCAATAAATTCCCAAAACATTATTCACTATTATTGTTGCACTTGGATGCCTTTGAGGTGGAAGGCAAATTGCTAAAGACATTATGCACTTCAGACACAGGGCCCAGAAGACCCAAGCTGGATCTGACTTGAAAGCCTCCTTCTTAGGACTAGGTCTCAGGGTACCACAAGGTGCCAGGCAAACAAAGGAGGGAAACAAACCACAATCCTACCCAGGTGATGCCTGTGAATCACAGCAACTGCCAGCATGGCATGATGACCCTCAGAGTGCACCAGTGGCACATATACCTGGGTGGTAACCAACAGCTCTCTAATTGGACTTACCACCCACTCAACCAGAGGGGAATCCTGCCTGTACTGTAAACCTAGCCAACTACACAGGCCTAGTGAATTTACCGATCTTGCAGAAGAATCTAGAACTATCACTTCATAAACCCACACAATCCCTAACTACATTCTAAATATTTATTCTTACACCTATTCATAAGTGTAATCCTCACTCCTCATCAAAGAAACTTCTCTTTGCAGTACATGGGGACCATTACAGGAAACCACAGTCAATCAAACTGCAGAGTCAGAAAACCCAGTCCCAAAGGGCAGATCTACAACACACTTCTGCATTTCCAGTTCAGGGAACATTGCAGAAGATGGAAAAGGAAGACCAGAGAAGCCAGAGGATCTAGGAATTGGCCATTATACTGTGTCTCTGTAATATCAGATGCTCTATCCATGAAGTCTTACCACATGGCTGCCTATACATGAGCTGAACAAGGATACACCAATAGACATGCTAACATGGATGGAGGCAAGTTCATAAGAACTCAACCCTATATCAAAAATCAAGAAATGCTGAGAGTGAAAGAAACAGTCTTCCCCAGGGAAGGGCACACCAATTGGATGTCCAATACCAAATGGTCAGTCCTGAAAACATACAAACAACATTGTACTGAATGAACAGATTGTACTTTTATGTTTAGAAATATATATATTCAATTATGTATATTCATATATATATATATATATATATATATATATATATATATTCAATTAAAGAAAATAGGCCATTAATTTGAAAGAGTACAGGGGATAAGGATGCATGAGAGGCTTGGAAGGAGGAAAAGAAAGGGAGAAATGGTGTAATTATATTATAACTTCAGCAGATGTTAAAAAATAACATGAAAGAATTGTATCATGATTAGAAACAACTGCTGTAACTCAGTTAACAGAAAACTCAAGGATATTTTTAAAAACACCATTTGTAGAAAATATAAATTGACTCAAAAGCAAAAATGATTTCACTATTCAACAACATTTACAATGATCTAAGCAAATCAGCATCGCTCCAGGTATCAGGGGGTGGGAGCAGTGCTGGGGGCAGAGGTTGAGAAAGCAGTTAACTTATATTATGTGTTTATCATGTTCCATACTTTATTCTAGAATACATTTTATTCATTCTAAAAACATCAAAAAGCAAGATGAAATAATCCTAATGAAGTGTGCAAAACCCTACAATGTTTAAGAGCGAAAGCCATTATTTAAAATAAGTGTATACAATTATAGTAATAAAGATATCATGATTAACTTGCAATCATCTGTATTACCAGGGACTATAACTAAAGGAAGTCAAGGGGATTAGTCAGTATTTAGGACTTTACAAAATATTTACAGTAACATGCAAAAGCAAATGCAAGGTATTTTATTCCAAAAGTTCTCTTAAAAAATTTATAAATAGCTGCTTATTTTTTTATTGCTTTTCTTTTTTAACTTTCTTATTTATATTTATTATTTGTGTCTTTCACATCATACATCTCTGTCTCATTCATTTCTCTGTTCCTTCGTATCCACCCTCTGCCCTTGCAGCCCCTCCCCCCAAAATAAAATAAAATTTAAGAGAAAAAAGGCGAAAAGGAATCTTGCCATGAAAGCTATAGTGTGACACACTTGAATCATGCAGTAAACCCCATTCGGGGTCTGGGTAGTTGCTGGGTTGGTCAACCCGCCATAGCTGCTTATTTTTAACATGACCAGATATTTATTTCACATGATTTCAACATAAATAATATCTTCATTTCCATAATAGAAGTCAACAGAGGCCTTAGCATGTTTCCTGAGGTTACTGGTTGCTGGCATGAGAACTGTGCAAACCAAAGCAAGTTTGGGAATTTACTAAACTAAAGAAAACTGTGGGAACCTCTTGTCTACTCAGTACAATGAAGAGTGATAACTTTCAAAAACAGGTCACTAGTCAAGTCACCCTGAGTCAGCTAGGGGAAAGCGGAGCCTTTCTTACCCCAGGAGAAAGATGAACTCAGGATAAAGCAGGAAATAGACCATGAAAAAACAGTCTTCAAGAAAAGACTTTCCTGATTCTGAAATGATGCCCGTGCTGAGGCTCAGAAAATATCTCAAAGTACGTGACCTGGCACAGCGTGTACTCTGAACAAGAAGCACTGGAGTTCCTGGGAAGCAAGTGTAGAAGAAAGTCTCTCTCTGATCTGCCTTGCAGTTCTGTGGCTTCCAGATCATGTAACAAAAGGCAGAATTTATCTTCACTTGGCTGAATAACCAGAAACTGGAGCCTCTCACTTCCTAGGCAAGATAAAGACTAGAGCCGGGCAGTGGTGGCGCACGCCTTTAATCCCAGCACTCGGGAGGCAGAGCCAGGCGGATCTCTGTGAGTTCAAGGCCAGCCTGGGCTACCAAGTGAGTCCCAGGAAAGGCGCAAAGCTACACAGAGAAACCCTGTCTCGAAAAAAAAAAAAAAAAAAAAAAAGATAAAGACTAGAAAGTTCCCTCCTTGTCTGTATTCCTTGAAGAACTTCATTCTCAAAGGGTGCTACTCCATCCCATCTGATGGATGAAGGAGAACCACTTCCAGTTCATGAAGAATCTGGACAGGCCTTGCTGGATTCCCACCTTGAGACTATCATCATCAGATTAAATCCTTTTGTCCAATCACATTTCTACTCAGCTCTCTGCTCTTCATTAAATCTAAATATAAAATATGGACAGTTTTCTTTGGTTCTTGGAGATTTGGTTTCTAGAGGTACTGTGTCATATAAGGTTATTATTAAATATGATGTTCTCGACGCAAACCGATGGGCGAACCGCGCTATAAAAGTTGCCTTGACTAGACCTACCTGGACTGAGTCTACCAGGTTGACCTCAGTCTGTGGGGAAGGCTTTGCCCTGGAGTAGATGGGAATGGGGGGGGGGGGGGGTTGGGGGGAAGGTGAGGGGGACGGGAGGGGGGAGAACAAGGGAATCCGTGGCTGATATGTAGAACTGAATTGTATTTCTTTTTTTTTTTTTTTTTTTTTTTTTTTTTGGTTTTTCGAGACAGGGTTTCTCTGTGTAGCTTTGCGCCGTTCCTGGAACTCACTTTGGAGACCAGGCTGGCCTTGAACTCACAGAGATCCGCCTGCCTCTGCCTCCCGAGTGCTGGGATTAAAGGCGTGCGCCACCACCGCCTGGCCCTGAATTGTATTTCAAAATAAATTAAAATTAAAAAAAAAAATATGATGTTCTCCTATTGTCTTTAATTACTGAAGCATCAGATGTGACCTTAAATTGGAGAGGGGAAGGCATCACACATTTCTACTCTCAGACAACAAGACAAGAGATCTTATAGCAATTTCTAACCCATCAGGGAAATTAATTGAAACAGATGTTTAAGAACTTACTTGTGCCTATTTTTATTTGATTTTATATCTAAATCAATGCTTTAAACTTAATTGGTCATTTTCTTAAAATCTTTAAAGCAGATGCCAGTGACTAAGATGATTTTTAAAAGCAAATATGTGAGTTCTGAGTATGATGCTAGAGCAGTGGTCCTCAGCCTTCCTAATGCAGAGACCCTTTAATACAGTGGGTCTCAACCTTCCTAACACTGTGACCCTTTAAAAAGACAGGTTAATACAGTTCCTCATGCTGTGGTTAACCCCAACCAGAAAATTAGTTTTGATGCTACTTCATAGCTGTAATTTTGCTACTGTTATAAATTGTAATGTTAATATCTGATATTTTCAGTGGTCTTAGGCAACCCCAGTGGAAGGTTCATTCATCCCCAAAGGGGTCACAACCCACAGGTTAAGAACCACTGTGCGAAAGTGTTGAGTTGAAGGAGAAAAGGAAGACACTAGAAAGCTCTGAACTCACTCTCTTTGTTTAACTAAAAACAGAACATGATTTCACAAAGACAAAGGTTTTCTGCCTCTACAGCCCAAGAAGTAATATTAGTAAGATGCAACTCTGGATCCTTATGAAATAACCACAGAGGATTTTGCCCTAACAAGTTTTATTAATGAGTCTTTATCTGCCATTTCACTACCCTCCTCAAGTTGCTATGCCTAGGAACACAATGTCTCTTTCCTTTGTCTTCTATCCTCTAGAAAAATCTACTGTTCTCTATTTTAAAACCACATATAAACTAAAACATATCTATCTTGAGAATTACCATTCTCGGGTGTCTCTTGAGGATTTAAGAACACACAAATGAACCTCACTCTTTCTCTTGTTATTCGGTCTTGTGCAGAAGAAATCCATTTAAACTAAGAACCGAAGAGTGTTGATCTTTAACAATTATATTATTGTACAGACAGCAAAGCCCCTCTTCTTTCGGTTTCCTAAACAGAAACATTATAATGTATCATGATTTAAACAAATCAAAAGAGATCAAACAAACCTAGTCTTAAATTCCAGCTCTCTGACTTACCTCTCTCAGTCCCAGGTTCCTCTTCAATGAGCCACAAATGGTTGTAGTTGTGTTGAACAGTCATGTGAGCTAGAGGAGAATGTAAAACTACTTATCATATTTCCTGGCTCAAACTCACCACAATACATTTAATGTGTGTGTTCATCCATGCAGGAAGTACTTCTTCAGACCTACTAGGGGACAGACCTTATTCTCAGGGACAAGGACACAACAGTGAACAGAACAGAAAAGATATTTTATTTATAGAAGTTACAGACTGCACAAATAAGTAAGTAAATGCAAGTTATAATTTAAAATAATGATTCTTTTAAATTAAGGCCATGTGATAGAGAAAGGATCAAGAGAGAGGTGGGAGGCATGGAAATCAGAATTCTTTTGGGTAGAATGGTGATGAAAGTCTTCCCTATTGAGACAAATAATACTGGAGCTAAAGCCAAAATTACCTGAAGAGAGCAAAATCTAGGGAGAAAGCACTCCTTCATTTGGGCAGAGTTGAATTCATTGATCCAGGAATAAATTAGGTAAACAAGTAAAGAAAGCATGTGTAGCATATAATGAGAACAAAAAAAAAAGGGAGGGGAGAAAAATCTGGTGAACCTGGTCCAGCCCCTGGTTGAGTTGTTAGAGTTCACATCAAGGGATTTGGGAGCGAGTCTAACAATAAATAATGTGAAGGCCATCACATAACTGTAAATAGAGAAGTGACAAAATCTGGGGCGTTGTTCTCCAACTTACAACTTGGAGAAAGGTAAGTGGAAACAGGGTCCTGTTACACAGTTTAAACTTCCTCAAACCCACCATCCACCCTTTTAAGTCTTCTGAATGCTGGGATCACAGATGTGCACATCACGCCCACCTCAATTTTTCTTTTATCTTTGAGATTTTAATTTAATCACAACATTCCTTCTTTCTCTTTCCTCCCTCCAAACCCTTCCATATGCCCCTCCTGCTCCCCTTCAAATTCATGGCCTCTTGTTTTCGTCAATTGTTATTGCATGTATATATGTATTTCTACTTACCTATATATTCCTAGATAAAGCCTGTTGAGTCTATATAATGTCACTTGTATGTACGTGTTCGGGGCTGACTGGTTGGTACAGGACAACCAATTTATGTTCTCATCTCTGGGGAGAACCACCTCACCCACTCTCAGCTTTCTTCAGCTTTCTGTAATTACTGAGTAGGGTTGAGACCCCTTGGGCTTTTTTCCTGTCCAGTTTGACATGTTGCAATCTCAATAGTCATTAACCATATCTTGCTGTTCATGGTCCTGAAGTTTGGAAGAGATGATCAAAAGTTGGAAGTACCATCCACCTACTTATACTGTTTTTCATCATCAGGCATTTCTGTATTATACTTGCATCTATCTGTGATATGTGGTTTGTTCAGTCAAGCATTCATAATCATATAAATTATGCATACTGCTACACTGTATACAAACAATAATTTCCCAAAAGTCAAATCAAAGCATCCCTAAAGAAATTTCTTAAATTTATAAAAATAGAGATGTTCCTCCATCCACTTTCTACATGCTGAGAATCTACTATATTGCTGATCTGAAAGAATTCAAAGAAAATTTGCAATAACACTAAATAAACACGTACAATAGACTTCTGTAGCTTTTTAAAGATGGGTTTATCCCTCAAAAACTCATCATTACCTGAGGAGAAGAAAAATGAAAGGAACATGTCATGGTGCATAATAATGAATTCCTTAAAGTTCAACAGAAATGTATAAATCTTGATACACTTCATTTCTTTAAGTAAAGAAAGAAATACATAAGACCTTAATAACATGCACCAATGAGTAGGAAGCCAACAGCAAATTACCTAATTTGCTGGATTTGAAAGTATGGAAGTAAGGGCAGTTTTAAGTCAAAGCCATTACATTAACAAAACATCATCATACAATACAAATGTTAAAATGCTGCTCTCATTCCCACTCCAGAAAGCAGCACAAACAGTTCCCCAAAGCAGGACAGAACCTGGAGTTGCCGCTAGCATGTGTTCTGACCACTGCTGACAGTCAGAAAGCTCTTGGATGTCTAGACAGACACCAGCAAGTGCTACAGCAACCGGACAACAGGCAGGAGTGAGGGCTGAGGGCAGTGGGCTAGATCTGTGACTACAGACTCACCAGAAGAGCTGAGCTCTTGGGGTCCTAAGACAAGGCCACTGTGAACATTCATACCCACCCAGTTCTGTGTAAACCCTTCATGGCTTTATGTGACCCTGCTCTCCACCTTAGAAAATGGACTGAATTAAACTGGTCCTGGCACCGATCTAACTGCAGAACAAACTTTTGGGGAATTGCATTCTTTGAAACTTGTAGAAAACTGCAAACAAACTTTGGAAATGGAGAAGTGAAAACACTTTTATCTAGGAAACTGAAAGTCTCCGGTAGCTTTCCTAGGTGCATAGGGAGATCAAATCTCTTCGAGGTTTTTTAGTCAGTAACTTGAAGCTACTGATTACATAATATGAGTATGATAACAATGACTAATGTTTGTAGAACAAACTGTTCAAAATCTTTTACCTCTACCATCTCATTTAGCTATTAAAATATATCTCTAGGATATCTTTACAAAAAAAGTGCATAATGGAAGTAAAGTACTCAAAAATATATCACCCAGACATTGTGTCCAATTCCTAAAAAAATACCAAAAGAGGAATCTCAGCACGGCTTGGAACTGGCGGCAACATTGACCTAATACAGTACAGTACAATATATAGCTCTTATATATACATTTATTATTTATCCATCCCTCTTTAGAATTTAATTTTTAAACCACCATATCTGTATTATTAACATGAGGGATTTCATGCATGGTCCACCAATGCACTTTTGTATTTTGTTCCTAAGCGCCAGTGATATATATTGAGATATTTATAAACAATCCTTTAAAAGTACCTTTTAACTTATTTAAAGATACTAATTCTGTTAATGATGTTGTATGAGACCCAACTAAAAGCACTCAATACAATACCCTGGAACTAGTAGTAGCAGTAAGACATAGTTTATAGGAGATAATGGTAGTTGCCCTACATGGTATCAGCTTCAAAGGGTCCATTTATTCTTTCAGTTTAAACAATTCCTATAACAATTCACTTTAAAGAGTAATACTTACTGTTATTTTATCCTAAAACAATCCTATTCAGAGTTAAAGATTTGAAGACATAGATAGTCTAAGCTTGGATATGCTCATTTGATGCAAATGCCAAGTATTTGGTGTGCCAGTTTGTGTTTAATTTTGAGTGTTCCAAAAGAATACAGACTGAAGTCATATTTCCTCCCAGTCATCACTGTTTTAATCAGGCTACAAGCCTTGACTGGCTTTGTCCTCCCTTTAGCATTTTTTCTTCTGTATCACACAAATCAACACACATCATTATGGAATATACATACAAATGTCTTTATGCTTTGTTATAGCTCGATCCCCTGCCCACTGACCTGTGCCATGCCACCTTCTGCTCACTAATTTCTTCCCCACATCTTGTCACCCTTTCTATGTCACATACATGCAATACTCCAACCTTCCCTCCTCCTTTACGATATATCTTCCCTTCTCATGACTACACACACACAAACACACACACACATACACATATTATAAATTATATTATATATACAGTTATATATAATTTATGGCCTTCATATGACAGAAAGATGTCTGGCATATTTACTTGCAATATTAATCCACAGTTGTACCCCTTTTCCTGAAAGTGGCAGGATGTCATTTTTCTTCTATTAATTATTATTATATATAATTTTTTCTTTTTTCTTTCTATTTATTTTTCTCTCAAACAGCATATGCTTCCTTCAACTCCTCCTAGCACCCCCACCTCCCCTTTCCCCCAGATCCACTGCTCCTCTGGTTCCCTTCAGAAAAGAGCAGGCCTCCCAGTGATATCAGCTGAACACGGCATACTCCTCTCTATGGCTGAATAAAATTCCATTGTCTGTATGTACCATTTTTGTCTGTCTGTTCATCTGTTGATAAGCACCTAGGCTGGTTGCATTTGTAGCTGTTGTCAACAATGCAGCAATAAATATGGATGTACAAGTCTCTCTGTGGCATGTTAATTTAAAGTACTTCAGATACATACTCAAGCAGTATAACTGGTCATTCCTTGTACAAGTATGCCATATTAAGGTAGCACACCCCACACAAGAACGTTCAAAAGCATATAACACTGATTTCTGCTTAAGCTAGAGTTATGGCCAAAGAACTTTAGAAGGCGTATATAGACAGAGCCTAAATCAATACCTGAGACTATGTATGACCATAGTATTAAGTATTCACACCCTCCAATAGCATGCTAGCCCCATTATATTATAAACTCCTGAAAATGAACCACACATTTTTTTCTTTTAATGCATAGCACAGCATTTTAATATATTTCTACCAATTTAAATTAATATTAATTGCATTCTTTTCAGATAACCATAGCTCCTGAGGAACACTCTCTGGCCTCCACATATGGAGCACACTTGCACACACATATGATTGTTTCTCTCTCTCTCTCTCTCTCTCTCTCTCTCTCTCTCTCTCTCTCTCTCTCTCTCACACACACACACACACACACACACACACACACACACACACACACACGCGGAAGTGAATAAGGTGGTCATCACAGGTGGAACAAAAAGGGAAGGAAGTTAACAAACTAGTCATTTCACATGCTGTATAGTCATTGCCTACTCCGAGGACTTATGCCCATCCTTCATTAGCTGTGATATTGTCTACTTATACCCCATAAAAAGACAGTGAACAGAACATATGTCAATAGAACTGACCTTTCATAAAGTAAAGACTCTACAAAATGAAAGCCATATTTATTTGATGAAATAATTACTAAAAACCTAATGGAATTTTGTATTTAAATGCAATCCCAGAGACTAAAAGTAACATTGGATTAGTAGAAACTTGTGTAACTTTTTCTGAAAATGAGTCTGCACTTCAGAGAAGCTATGAAAAGAGCTCACAAAATAGATTACACAGCTAAGACCACAGAAGGCAAGTGCGAGGAATTTACAGCATAGGAATAAGAATCTGTACTAAGCAGCTGCAGTTGAAAAGGCAAAAAGACAATCAATGGGGTTAATCACTGGACTGTAAAATATGAAATATTTGCTAGAGTGGAAGCTAATTAATCTCACAATGCTTTGGTAAGGGTGATTCTGATAAGGATTAACGAAGTATAGGAATTTGTGCAGAATCTAAGCTCTCCAGTCTAATGTCTTTTGAAAGGAGGCCACAAAGATATCAGGGTACTAAAGAGAATTGAGGACGCTCTCACGACATCCTTAGTCACTCTGCCAGTGACCCTTCCTTGATAAGTGTGATACATGTGTCCCCCTGTCCCTTTACATAGTAAGAAGTGGGAAGCAGAAAATCACATGTTGGCTTGTCCATTGTACAAGCTTTATTGACAGAGAGAATTATGAAAATGCATCTTTGATACTCAACCATCCATGCTTCATGCAAATTACAGAATCTGTTTCAGGACCTCAGTTGTTAGTCTAGTGCCCCAGATATGTTTGTAAGGGACAGCTTTCTCCTAAATTCATCATGGGCAAGAAAAAATGTTTACTACGTATAAATGGGGAACGTTAAGGATATTTGGTCTACGGGAAATATTGCTAGACATGGGCCTACAACCACAAAAAAGGTCACACAAATCTCAGAAGCTGAGGATGGCAAGGGCCCTCTGGCCTGGCTAATGACATAGGAAAATCTCATCACTTGATTACAAGGACAGAGATGCCAGCTGCAGCTCCTGAACAGCATAGGGAGCCCATGGTACAGTCTGCCTGACTCACCTGGAGGTCAAAAGAGACCTTAGTGACCTGATTAAGTGGCTGTATGGTCATGGGGCATTGTCCTATAAGGCACAAGAAGGTGGTTGTGTTCTAGGGCTGCTGAGGCCTTATGCCTGGGCCTTCCAAGGTACAGAACTCTGCCGCAGATTGCAAAATGGGCTAGATTTAATTTTAATTATTTATTATTTTATTTTACTTATTTTATTTTAGTTTTTGGTTTTTTCAAAACAGGGTTTCTCTGTGTAGCCCTGGATGTTCTGGAACTCACTCTGTAGACCAGGTTGGCCTCAAACTCAGAGATCCTCCTGCCTATGCCTCCTGAGTACTGGGATTAAACACATGTGTCACCATGCCTGGCTAAAGTTTTAATTATTATTTTTTGGGGGGGAGGGTTGGTTTTGAGACAGGGTTTCTCTGTGTAGCTTTGGAGCCTGTCCTGGGACT